CACAAGGGTTCCCAAATGGCACTTGGCCAATTTTTTATTGGATTTTATAACATTTATTTTTGTCAAAATGAGTTTCTGCATTTATTTTTGCAGAAGGTAAACATTTATTTTTGCAGAAATAAGTTTCTGTTTTCTTCTCTGAGTGTGTTCATGAGGAAAAAGAGAAAGTAAGATGTTTTTCTTAGTGTTTTTATAACATCCTAAAATGGTTTAATCTGTTAAGGATGATAAAGGATCTTAGGTGAGGGAGTGACTTTCTTTGTTTTCCTTTTTTGAGAGAGTCTCTCTCTGTCGCCCAGACTGGAGTGCAATGGCACAATCTCAGCCCACTGCAACCCCCGCCTCCTGGGTTCAAGCGATTCTTCTACCCCAGCCTCTCGAGTAACTGGGATTACAGACATGTGCCACCACGCCTGGCTAATTTTTGTATTTTTAGTAGAGATAGGGTCGCACCATGTGGCTAGGCTGGCCTCGAACTCCTGAGTTCAAGTGACCTGTTTGCCTAGACCTCCCAAAGTGCTGGGATTATAGGAATGAGCCTCCATGCCTGGCTAAGGGGGTGACTTTCTAACCAGTGTCAGGTTGGGGATTTGTGTGCTTCCATGGGGGCCTCGGGACCTGGTTTTACTTGGTTAATTTATAGACTCATTCTCTTTAAGGTGAATTTGGGCTCTTGCACCCCATCTCAACTTCAGTTTCTCTCCATTTTCAAATCTCAACACCCTAATGCTCTTAGGTGGTCTCAAATGTGTTCCACCAGAGCCAGGCTTTCTAGAAGTCCTTCTTGAGATGTCCTCATCCAGTTCTCTCTATGCTGACCCTGTCCCTGCAGGAGACAGCTGAATCTGGAGGGATTTCTTTTTTTCTCACTGGTACCATCGGGGGCCTCCTGTTTGTCTAGATCAACGGGCCATTCGCAGCTCTCATTTTCTCTAATGCATTTGACTTTCCTGACCCAGGAGGTTGAGTAGCTTTTTGAGGACAGGGACTCTGTCCTTCTCACCCACAGAGACTCCTTTAAATATTTATAAAATGAATGCACATATCTTTCTTCCAGAAACTCTGCCAAACACTTTACAGGATAATGCTTCGGAGCCGGCGTCATAGGAGCATTATCCTGTAAAGTGTTGGACTCGGTTTTCAGCACCTCCAGATGATGCTCTTGGGCTCTCGGATTTGAGAACTGCAGTTCCTCCTTGGAGGCCCATCTGTACTGCCTTGAGCATGGCTTCTCCAGCCCTTCTTCCTTCTACATTCTCTATCCAGCCCTCTACAAAATAAAAGAAATTAGCTGGGCATGGTGGTGCATGCCCCTAGTTCTAGCTGCTCAGGAGGCTGAGGCAGGAGGATTGCTTGAGCCTGGGAGGTGAGGCTGCAGTGAGCCATGATTGCTCACTAGCCCTTCTTCCCGTCTCCTAACTACATGTGTTCCACAAAGTGTGGTTCTAAGTCTTCTTCCCTGCATTTCCTGGAACTGTCACCCTCTCATGGCCATCAGTCTTGTGCCCAGGCTTGAGTACAGTGGCACAATCTCAGTTCACTGTAACTTCTGCACCACCAGGTTCATGTGATTCTCTTGCCTCAGCCCCACTGACTGGCTGGGATTACAGGTGCCTGCCACCATGCCCAGCTAGTTTTTGTTCTTAATAGAGATGAGGTTTCTCCATGTTAGGACGCCATCTCTCGTCACACAGTCCCTGACACCTCTGCCCTGTTTTCTCCCCTCCAGACCATTGTCGTGGTTCAGATGCCTAACCCAGAATGTCCTCTGGCCCCCTCAACCTGTCCTCAGAGAAACTCATCAACTTGTTCTTCCTCTTTTCTTCTTTTTCTCTTTTTAAATCAATTGTATCTGGCCGAGTGTGGTGGCTCACTCCTGTAATCCTAGCACTTTAGGAGGCCGAGATAGGGGGATCACTTGAGGCCAGGAGTTCGACACCAGCAGGGACAACATAGCAAAACACTGTCTCCACTAAAAATACAAAAATTAGCTGGGTATGGTGGCAGGTGCCTGTAGTCCCAGCTACTTGGGAGGCTGGGGCAGGAGAATTATTTGAACCCAGGAAGTGGAGGTTGCTGTGAGCTGAGGTCACGCCACTGTACTCCAGCCTGGGTGGCTGAGCGAGATTCCATCTGAAACATAAAATAAAATAAAAATAAATCAATGGCATCTTCCCAGTTTCCTAGACTGAAACGTTGGTGCTCATGATACTGTCATCTTAGTAGATACAATTTTTCACTTAGGTGTTTTTTGGTGTGCTTATGTATTCTAGAATAGTGAGAGCTCATGTCCAAATCTTCTGCATAACTTAACAACTTTTTCCATGAACGCTCCCAGCCAAAACAATTTCTCTCTCTCTGCGATTCCTCACAGCACTCTTCCTCCATGGCCATTATTTTTTTGTGGGGATTGGGGGGCCATTAGCTTCATTTACCTTATAATATTAAATATTATAATTTATTTTTATTTATTTATTTTTTAGGCGGAGTTTTGCTTTTGTCGCCCAGGCTGGAGTGCAGTGGTGCGATCTCGCCTCACTGCAACCTCCGCCTCCCAGGTTCAAGCGATTCTCCTGCCTCAGCCTCCCGAGTAGCTGGGATTACAGGCACCCGCCACCACACCTGGCTATTTTTTTTTTTAGAAGAGACAGGGTTTCACCATGTTGGCCAGGCTGGTCTCGAACTCCTGATCTCAGGTGATCCACCTGCCTTGGCCTCCCAAAGTACGCCTTCCTGTAATTTTTAAACATATCTCATCTCCTTAACTCAATTGTAAGCATCTTGAGGGAGCACTTGTGTCTGGATTGTCTTTGAGCACAGGCCAGAGCACAACTCAGTATCTTATAAAGTCCAGAATCACACTGCAGGGACTGGGAAGAGAAGCCTGCTCAGTGTCACTTGTTCTTAAGCCCTGATCATTGGATGGTGGCATCTGCCTCGATGTTTCCATACACTGTTGTTTGGAACAGTGTATCCCTGTACCTTGTAAGAGTGAGAATGGTGTCTACTGCTATACAGTCGGCCCTAGACTTTATAGATGATTTTGGCGGCTGGGCGCAGTGGCTCATGCCTGTAATCCCAGCACTTTGGGAGGCTGAGGTGGGTGGATCACCTGAGGCCAGGTGTTTGAGACCAGCCTGACCAACATGGTGAAACCCCATCTCTACTAAAAATACAAAATTAGCTACGCGTGGTGATGCATGCCTGTAGTCCCAGGTACTCAGGAGGCTGAGGCAGGAGAATCACTTGAACCCAGAAGGTAGAGGTTGCAGTGAGCTGAGATCGCACCACTGCATTCCAGCCTGGGCAACAAGAGGGAAACTCCATCTCAAAAAATAAAAATAAAAATGATATTGACTAGTTTGAAAGACAAGCTGTTGTTCATAGGAAGTTATGCAATTAATCAACATTAATAAGTATGATAAACCAATTATTATTAGATTTACCATTTATTGAATGCATGTTGAGTGTTTTCTATATAGCTTTTCCTTTAGTCTTAGCAGCCATAAGGCTAGTACCAAATGATTAGGCTTTATCCTTTTACTCCTTTAATACCTCCCAAAACTCTTTAGGTATGAGAAGGCCAGTGGTAATGACCCACACTTTCTTTTGCCAGCCTTACTGATCCATACCCATATATCTCCCCCAAAGTCTCGCAACTGCTTAACAAATGAGGAACTCATTTGATACCCAGATGTGGTGAGTGATGTAGCCAGGAGCTGACATCCTGTTCCTGGGAAGAGCCACTACCAGGTCACAGGTCACATGGCAGCTAAGAGCTAACAGTGCCTGCGGAACTCCTGGCATGGTGCCCAGCGCTCAGCATTCAGAATGTTCTCCCTGAACTTAACAGAGATTCCTGCAGTCACAAGCCAACCCTGGTCACCAGGGGGATTCGCCTTGTAGCATTCCATGATCTATGGCCTTTGGTGACATGTCCCTGAGTACCCCAGCACCCATGCAGGGTGTATGGAGTGCAGGTATCTAAGAATCCCCTCCCTGTTAGCTCCTCATTTTCCTCCCTATACCTGGTGATTTTTATGCACACAAAGTATCACTGTGTTTTTTTTTTTAAGATGTCTTTATTTTTATTTATTCTTAAAATTAAAGACCAGGTCTTGCTCTGTTGCCCAGGATAGAGTGCAGTGGTGTAACTATAGCTCACTGCAGCCTCCAGTTCCTGGGTTCAAGTGATCCTCCTGCTTTGGCCTCCTGAGTAGCCAGGAGTACAGGTGCACAACACCAGACTCGGCTGAGTATCAGTCTTTATGTCTATAGAGTTAGATTCAGTTGAATTGTGTTTCAGCTCTCCCGTTACCACAAATGTGACCTCGGAACAGGTTAGCCTCTCTAAGATTATGTCTTCATTTGCAAAATAGAATTAACGTAGTTAATTAATGGAATTAATCTAGCAACCTCCTGGGGTTTCTGCAAGGATTAAATTAGCTCATAGAAATGCACTTTCCCACCTGCTTGTTGCAGAAGGGAGGGCATTCAATCCCTGGTAGCTTTAGTTCTGCCTCCAAGCTAGCATTTCTACTACTAAGCAGAGACTTATTTTGCATCCCAAGGCACGTACTGTAAGAACGAGTCTGTGTGCAGATGGAAAAGCCCGTATAGAAATTGATAAACCGGATGGACCCATGGGGTAGCAGGAGGACAAGGACAAGGATTCTGGTCAAGTTTGGGGGGAGGGCCACGAAGAAAAAGAATCTTGAAGGACGTCTGCCGGCTCATAGCAGCCAGGATATAAAAGCCAGGCCTGGTTCCCATCCAGCTGTACGGATTGCAAACCGTCAGAAGATAGCTGTCCTGGGTGAATGCATCAGAGATGTCGTCTGACTTCTAGACTGATGAGATTTTCTTTTCTGCCAGAATTACTAACATGCGATTTTTTTGAGATCTTTGAACTCGCTGAAGATCTGTGGGCATTGCAGTGGGTTAGATGCAAATTTGAAGTGACATGTTTATAGACCTTCTTGCATTTTTGTTATTTGCAGAGGAGCTGAAGGTCCCCCTGGAGGAGTATGTCCACAAACGCTACCCCGGGCTGGTGAAGGTGGTGAGAAATCAGAAGAGGGAAGGCCTGATCCGCGCTCGCATTGAGGGCTGGAAGGTGGCCACCGGGCAGGTCACTGGCTTCTTTGATGCCCACGTGGAATTCACCGCTGGCTGGTAGGTCATGAGCTGAAACTCAGGGGTGCTCAAGACCTGCATTGTGGTTGAGAGGGGCTGGAATGCGGGAGGTGGGACATTTCGCCTGTTACCTGTAGGGGCACTGGGAGAACAGGGAAAGACTCGTTGAAGAAGAAAGTGAGACCATTGTCTGGGATAAAACTGGGGAGCAGGGAGAAATCTACCTGCCGTCTGTTCAGTTCATCATCATTGGCATCATCATCATCATCAAAATCCCCAATGAAAATAGTGTATCAGGCTGGGCACGGTGGCTCACGCCTGTAATCCCGACACTTTAGGAGCCCAAGGTGGGTGGATCATTTGAGATCAGGAGTTTGAGACCAGCCTGGGCAACATGGTGAGACCCTGTCTCTACTAAAAATACAAAAATTAACCGGGCATGGTGGAGCACGCGTGTAGTCCTGGCCACTCAGGAGGTTGAGGCAGGAGAATTGCTTGAACTTGGGATGCCAAGGTTGCAGTGAGTCTAGATCACACCACTGCACTCCAGCCTGGGTGACAGAGAGAGACTCCATCTCAAAAAAAAAAAAAAGAAAGAAAAAGAAAATGGTGTATCAAGTAGACAAAACTCAACAGAATCCTTGCAAATGGGACAAGAAGTCGTAATTTTCTTGTTCTCTTTTCCTTCTTTGCTGCTGTCTTTGCAGGTTGATGGTTGACTGTCATTGTGAGAAAAGAGATATAGTTATAATTCTGACCACTCAGGTAAAGCTCCCCAGAATTATCTTTCACATCATTCGGAGGAAGGTGAAGCGTATTTTCTGCAGATATGGCCCTGATATTTTTCTAGGTGGAAAGAACAGAGTGTGAGAAACTGGTTGAGTGTACGGGGAGTAGAAGATTTTGGATGCACAAAGAGTGAGGCCACAAAAATGCCAAAATCATGTTAAAATTGGAATAGAACTTTCCCGTTTTAAAGCGTGGTCAGATGATTGTTGCTAAGTAACCAATGATCCATCAAGTTAGAGGTTAAATAACCTGTACCTGGGTTGCTTAATTAGTAAGAAGCAGAGTCTTGTATTTCACAAATATGTTTATTTACACTTATTGAGGCTGTCTTAAGTAAGTGTTGTTCACTGTACTAGATTCGAAGAACCAGTATCCCATCACTAATTAACATTAAAATGTCTGTTCTTCATTTGCAACAACCAATAAACCAATGTTTATGCATATGACCACTTAAGAAACCCGGGACCACTGATAACACTGACCCCTTCAAGTGCACGCTGGGGCCTGTTGCCATCTCAGACACCAATTTTCCCTCCCAGTTTTTTGCTGTCATCAAACTCTGGTGACACCCAGCTGCATGTCTTCAGCCCCCATCTCTCTCCTGAGCTCCAGAGCTGTTTATCTCTAGTAATAATCATTCCCAAAGTGTAGTGCCCAGACCCGCAGCATCCACAGAATCTGAGAACTTGTCAGAAATACAAATTCATGGGCTCCACCCAGTCGCCTGAAATCACAAGCCGTGCAGGTGGGATCCAGCAGGCTGTTGTAACCAGCCCTCCAGAGGACTCTGATGCATGCTCCAGTTTGAGAAGCACTGAGCCATAATGGAAGCCTTCTGAAAAAGATGCACGCCAATGTTCTGTCACAGCCTCAGGCCTGGCATACCTTGTCTTTTCCTTGGCATCATTGCGTCCTCGTTTCTTTCCTTTCAAAACTGGTTGCCCCCCACATATGTCCCTTTCCCTTGATTTTCCCCTTGCCCTCATGTTACTCATCGCTTCAACCTCCAGCTTCAGCCAGTTTTGTGTGCCGTTTCTCCTGTCTCCCTCTTTCAAGAGTGTCTTGACCACCACTCTCCCAGCTTGGTTCTTCCTTGACATTCACCTAAACGAATGCGGTCACTGCTGAAACTCATTCTTTTGACAGATACTTGCTAGATGCCTACTGTATCCCCTGGTGTTGTTCTAGGTTTGGGGTTTGCCTGGCACTGAGTGATTTCTCAGGACTTGCAGTGGTAAGGCTGGAAGAGTCCTGCACAAACTGGGACAGTTGGACACTAAACTGGGGTTCAAAATCTGGCAAGTTTGGTATCTGCCCTCAAGTCTACAGTCTAATTCTAGTCTGTCTAATTGAATCCACCTATCATCTGATTCTCCCTGATGTCTGTGACTTTAGTCTTTGCCTTTCAGACTCATTTTTCACACGTCTACCCGAGTGGCATAGAGCCCTCTCTGAATTAAAACCCCCTGGTGGTTCTCCATTACAAGGTAGATAGCATGTCTCAACTTTTACCAGGTTCTACTGCAATAAAAGTCTCCAGTCACAATGACTTACAGCAATACATGTTTCTCTCTTGTCTGCATGGCACATCAGCTGCGGCTGTCTGACTGTGGCTGTGCTTTTATCCTCTGTGTTCTGAGAGTCAAGGAATCCTCCTGTCTAGAACATCCCATCTTTGTGGCTCAGGGAAAAGAACAGTGGCTGAACTTCGAAATGGCTGTTAAAGTTTCTGCTCTGATGTGACACCGTCACTTTCACTCACATCCCATTGGCAAACCAATTCACATGTCCAAGTTAAATGTTAATTGGAGATTGAGGAAGGAGTGTGCTTCTCTAGGGAAGCATTGCAGGCCATCTGGTAATAGGCAGGACATCCCCAGGGAGGAGGGAGCAAATTATTGGGAATCGTCATACATTGTCTAGTAGACAGTAAGATCAAACTTCTCAGCCACAGAAATATCATTGGGGTCGGGCACGGTGGCTCACACCTCTCAGCACTTTGGGAGGCTGAGGCGGGTGGATCACCTGAGGTCAGAGTTCGAAACCAGCCTGGCTAACGTGGCGAAACCCTGTCTCTACTAAAAATACAAATACAGGTGCCTGTAATCCCAGCTACTCAGGAGGCTGAGGCAGGAGAATCGCTTGAACCTGGGAGGCAGAAGTTGCAGTGAGCTGAGATCGCGTCATTGCACTGTAGCTTGGGAGACAAGAGTGAAACTCCGTCTCAAAAAAAGAAAAAAAAGAAATATCATTGGAATCCAGGTCTTCTGCCTCCATACTCAGTGACTCTTACTGCTGGTGGATGGGCTGAACTGAATGTTTCTATATGTATGGTCTGGGCTTGTGTGGGGTTCATCATGTTTCATCAAGGAGGTAGTGGAGCTTCAGAATTAAGACGTGAACCGGACCATCTAGGTTCGAAACCTGATTCTACCACCAGTTGGCTGTGTAGCCTGGGGCAAGCTGCTTAACCTCCCTGGTCCTCAGTTTCCTCATTTGGATAATGCTGATCATCGCATCTACCTCACAAGATTATCTTGGGGGTTGCATTAGTCAGCACATGTGAAATACTTAGAATGGCGCCTAACACTAGTAAGTGCTCAATAAAGATCAGCTATCATTAGCTCATAAGAACAATAGCCTGTGTTCAGAGATGATTAGCAAAGGCAGCTGCACAGTCACTGTGACTTGAATAAGGTGGGGAAAATGATCTAGGAGTTGAGAGGAAGAACTCCCACAGGAGAGGTGGTGCTTGGTCTTGGGACCAGGTGGTGAGAGAAGTGGGAGAGGTGGTACTTGGTCTAAGCCTTCTTAGATGGCTGGGCTTTCGGCCAATAGCAAAGGGCATTCCCAGGGGAGAATTTCATGAGTGGAGACTTGGCCAGGGCCATGCTCCTAAGCCTGCCTGGAAGCCTTGGAAAATCAGTGCCATTTGGCTTCAGCTTATATGGTGTGTGCAGAAGTATTGGAAGCAGGTAATGGCCCAGGGTATATTTTATTGCTCATTTTAAATAGAAAGATGAGATGAGCCAACAGGTAATTCAATAGCTGCAAATGAAAAGAGATGGGTTGTCGACTGTGTGTTCTCATTATTCTTCCCGATAATGCAGAGGAATGGGATTTTTGCTTGACTCTGTTCCAAAACCTGCATTCTGTTCTAAGCTGGGAGATTAATGCGCTGGCTTAGGAGAGCCATCTTCTCCTTCTCGAATGTGGGAAATGATCCCTTCCCACGCCTGCCTCGGAGACGCACGATGTTGGAGGTGTCTGACCATCTGCTGTCTCCTAAGTCTCCTAAGCCAGCGGGCTACGCCTTGAACCTGAAGCCAGATCACTGACGAATGCCCGCTGCAGCCTCGAGCTGGGGAAGTGAGCAGGAAGCCAGGATTTTGCCTGCCTTTGCATTTAATTAGTTTCCAGTCTTCTATTGCTAACCAATTCAATTAGTTCCCTTCTAAGAAATCAAATCATCAATTAAAACAACTGAAATAATCACGCGCGCACACACACACACACACACACACAATTAAATCATCAATTAAAACAACGGAAATAATCATGCCAACACACACACACACACACACATACAAACACGCACACAAAATTAATTAAAACAACTGAAATAATCACGCGCGCACACACACACACACACAGAGAAGCTAGTGATATATGTATTAAAACCAGGCCATCCCAGGCAGAAGTGACCTATTTTGGGAAAGGAAATTCAGTGCCAGCAGAAAAAACAAGCGGTGGCAGTCAGTGCCCTAGGGGTAAACTGACGACACTGTATAAAACTCATGCAGTGTAAATCGTGGAGTCCACTGTCAATATGAAAGTGAGACTTGGCACTTTCTTGGGAAGGAGACCCCATGTTCTGAACTCTTGCTCTAGGCTTTTCAGGCTGGAGCAGGCATCACTGTAGTAATTCCAACAAGGGTGAAGGGGTGAGCTGATTTCATACACTTTACAGCCCAGGTGTGAAGCTGCAGGATCCAGCATGGACAGGTCCCTGGAAGCCTCAGTTTCCATCTGAGTTCCAGCCTTCCCGAAGCCCAGCCTTTTAGCTAAATGCTGTTCATTCCCTGTGGTCTTGGGAGGTGTGCCTCAGGAGAGAGAAGAAAGGTTTCATGTCTGTTTCTCTGTTTCAGGGCTGAGCCGGTTCTATCCCGCATCCAGGAAAACCGGAAGCGTGTGATCCTCCCCTCCATTGACAACATCAAACAGGACAACTTTGAGGTGCAGCGGTACGAGAACTCGGCCCACGGGTACAGCTGGGAGCTGTGGTGCATGTACATCAGCCCCCCAAAAGACTGGTGGGACGCCGGAGACCCTTCTCTCCCCATAAGGTCTGTGGCTGGTGAGCCCTGGCGGCCAACAAGCCCCCAAATTCAAGGGTACAAAGGAGCCACTGAGAGAGGCCAGAAAAGCCTGCCTTGGGCTCGAGCAGCTGTGTGCACACAGCTCTCCAGGAGCCGTGGTTGTCTCAGGATCACAGCTTTCCTGCAGAGGGAGGATGTTGCATTTTGCACCTTTATGTAAAGTTTTCAAGTGCAGCTTTTCAACGGCGATACTGAGAAGTTTCAAATTGATAGTAATATTCACACTTCTTTATTCTTCCTCATCTAGGAGGAGCTGTGTTCAGAAACTTTTAAGGATGAAGTTTGAAAGTTATTTTTTCTGGGGCTATTTTATACTTGTTGAAGTCTTGTACTGTTGTTGTGTTTGCACTCTTTTTCATGATACAAGATCATATAGAAAAGGACAAGGGGGTGTGGCATTCTGGGAAGCTGGAGGGACGTTGGGGAACTCTTTAGAACTCTTGTCCTGGGTCCCACCAAGCTGCCTCTCGGGATATGGAGATCAATATCTCGAGGCATAATTGCAAAACTCAAATAGGAGGTTGAGGCTGGGCATGGTGGCTCATCCCTGTAATCCCACACTGTGGGAGGCCAAAATGGTTGGATCACCTGAGGTCAGGAGTTCAAGATCAGCCTGGCCAACATGGCGAAACCCCTTTTTTACTAAAAATAAAAAGATTAGACAGGCATGGTGGCAGGCACCTGTTATCCCAGCTACTTGGGAGGTTGAGACAGAAGAATCACTTGAACCTGGGAGGTGGAGGTTGCAGTGAGCTGAGATCATGCCATCGCACTCCAGCCTGGGCAACAAGAGCAAAACTCCATCTCGAAAAAAAAAAAAAGCAAGGAGGTTGAATGAATATTGACTTCAATGCTGTATTAGTTTCCTCTTGCTGCTATAACAAATTACTATGAAAACAATGACTTGAAACCACACACATTGATGTTCTTACAGTTCTTGAGGTCGGAAGTTTGCAATGAGCCGATGGAACTAAAATAAAGGAGGGGTTGGGTCAGGAGGGCTGGGTCCTTCTGGGGGCTCTCGGGGAGATCTATCTCCTTGCCTTTTCCAGCTTCCAGAAGCTGCCTCCTCCCTCGGCTCATGGCTATGTCGCATCTCCCTTTCTCTCCGGCATCCTTCATCACGTGACCTTTTCCTCCTTTGCTTCCTTCCCTCCCACTTATAAAGGCTCTTATGATTATATTTTGGGTCCATACAAATAATCCAGGATTATCTCCCATCTTGAGATCCTTAACTTAATGGCATCTGCAAAGTCCTTTTCCCAAATAAGGGACCATTCACAGGTTCCAGAGATTAGGAACCTGTGAATGGTCCCTTAGGAAAAAGTGAAATGGGAGTGTTCCCTTAAACCTTTGCGGGGCATATGACAGGGGTATGGCTTACTTCTTCAGCACCCCACTGCTCAAACCCCTAGGGGGATCATGTAGATGGATAGGTTTTGGGGAGCATTTTGGGACTCCGACTCCATGGCAGTCTCTAGGGTTGAGTGTTTATGGCTCCTGAAGCCTCCGTTGGTGTGTGTTACAATGTACTCTTTCAGCTTTGCCATCTGCAGGCAAGTTGTGTTAATCAGCTTAGTTAGACCCTCTGGCTTATCACAAGGACAGAGGGCTTTCTGTATCCCAGGTCCTTGTCCTCGTGTATCAGAAAAACCAGATCACATGTGGGCTTGGAGAATGAGTGCAAGGTTTTCCTGAATGGTGGAGGTAGCTCTCAAGAAGATGGATGGGGAGCAGGAGGGGGATGGAGTGGGAAGGTGGTCTTCCCCTGGAGTCAGGTAGCACAGCAGCCAGGCTCTCCTCCAACTACCCCTGGCCGAACTCCCCTCAGCATCCACGTCATTCTACTGTTGCTGGCCTGCCAGTGTCTGCTGGTGTCTGTCCGTGTGTTCTTCTGCTACTCTCAACGTCCAGCTGCTTGTGTCTGTGCCCACTATGGTCCCGGGTTTTTATGGGCACAGGATGGGGGATGGGTATGGTGGGTCAAAAGGCAACTTTTTGACTGTGAAAACAGAAATACCTGTCCTCATTTAGGTCCGTGAGCACAGGCCCAAGGGTGGAGTCCTTGCCAGGGACCCTGCCCTTCTCTACCCAGCACTTCCCTGCCCCTGTTCCATATCAAAAGGACTTTGCAGATGCGATGTGGAAATCCTAATCTCTGGAACCTGTGAATGGTACCTTATTTGGGGGAAATGGCTTGGTTGAAAATCCTTTGATCCCCGAGTTATAGTTCAGGACTTTATGTGAGTTCTTCTTGAGGACCAAACTGACTCTTAAAATCATGATTCTGTCTTAAGTCGGGAGAGGCAGGAGAGGCCTGTGTACCTGGGCTTGGTTTTAGGGGTGTGGTTGTTGGTGTTAAGATAGCAAGATGGAATAATGGAGTAAGGATGAAGACTTTTTCCAGATAGTCATGAAGTTCTTTCTCAGTTAAAACATTTGTGATTAACAAGAGTAAGAGTTTAGCCAGGCCCAGTGGCCCACACCTATCATCTCAGCACTTTGGGAGGCCAAGACAGGAGGATTGCTTGAATTCAGGAGTTTAAGACCAGCCTGGGCAACATAGCCAGATTGTGTCTCCATTGAAATAAAATTTTAAAAAATTAGCCAGGTGGTGGTGTGCTCTTGTAATCCCAGCTACTCAGGAGGCTGAGGAGGGAGGATTGCTGGAGCCCAAGAGGTCGAGGCTGTAGTGGGCTGTGATTGTATCATGGCACTCCAGCCTGGGCAATAGAAGGAGACCCTGTCACAAATAATAATAATAAAAAAAAGAGTAAGCTTTTGAAAAGTTCTGTTAATTTTCTGCTCACACCAAGAGCTGAAAAATTGCATAGGAGTAGAGCCAGGCATGGGCAAATTTGTACAACAGAGAAGGTAAATCTTTTGGGTCTACAACTTCCTCAAGCTGTCTTGCGGCTCAGCTCCCACCCAACCTGTTCATCATGGAGTGTTTCAGGACCATATTCTTGGCTATCTGCAAATAACATTAATAGTGTAAGGTTAACTAAAGCAAAGCCTTCAGGGATATTTGAGCTTTAATGGCGAGTGCTTGAAGACATGTTGACCTTTAGATCTCAAAGGGATGAAACTCAAAGGATGGACTCGCAGACAGTGACTTTCACGTGTTGGCTAAAAGATACTTTCTCCCAAGTCTCCGCACTGACACACGGGAGACTGGCCTCCAGCCAGGACAGATAACAGTATGAGGGTGTGACTGTAAGTGCTAGCAACAGAGAAAAAGAAGTGCTTGCAGTGCAGTGCCTTCGGATGCCCAGTAAACATCTATAATGACTGTCTCTGAGTGGCTCTAAGCAAAAAATTAGCTTGTATTTCATGAGTTACGGTAACATTAACAGATGATTAATATGCACTTTGAAAAGACTCAAGAAAATAGTCATGATCATGAGTCATTAATATTACATGCATCTCTGATGTACAAAATAGAATCAAATGCCAATGATCTCTTTTTAATGTGTCTTAACTTACGGGATGCTTAATTTGTTAATAGTTGATGGGGAAATTTAATTGTAGGGATGAATTTTTATGGTCCTTCTGAAATTATTAAGCAGATACAATATGCTTTCTTAGACATGAGGACATGGCGGTTTCTCTTTCTTGCTGGGATGCCAAAATTTTAATAGTTACGATTTTACTCCAGTGAAAGATGAGCCAAGGAGAACGTTTCATCATCCAAATGGTATTACATTAGACGAGTCTTTAGATACTGAGACTTCCCAGTAAGCAACATAATATAGGAGATTTGCATTAAGGGAATTGATAATTCCTTCTGTTTCAGTTCTTTTCCTATTTCTTTCTGTATATATTAATATCTTTTTTGTCCTGCCTGCTAAATAGCTATTTTCTCAGGTTTTCTCTTTGTCCTCCACTCTTCTTTTCTACACCTGAGTTTCCAGTATGGCAAGTGGGTAAGTGCCATGAAAGAGGGCAAAAGCTGACTGTAAGGGTAAGAGGTTGGGGAACTGAAGAACACAGGTCCTGCCCAAGGAGGCAACTGTTCCCAGCTCTGCTTGATGGTGCTGGGGGTACATAAGGCCAGTGTGTTAAGGCCTCCAGAATTTTTTTTTTTTTTTTGAGACGAAGTCTAGCCCTGTCACCCAGGCTGAGTGCAGGAGCGCAATCTTGGCTCACTGCAACCTCTGCCTACCGGGTTTGAGCAATTCTTCTGCCTCAGCCTCCTGAGTAGCTGGGACTAAAGGCGTGCGCCACCATGCCTGGCTAATTTTTTGTATTTTTGGTAGAGACGGGGTTCCACCGTGTTGACCAGGCTGGTCTCAAACTCCTGACCTTGTGATCTGCCTGTCTCGGCTTCCCAAAGTGCTGGGATTGCGGGCGTGAGCCACCGCACTCGGCCCAGAATTTTAAGAGCAGCCATAAATCTAGAGCCTTTGTGAAATCTCCTGCCTTCTAAATGTTGACAATAAACCTCTCTTCTTCAAAACTTCAAGGACCCAACCGCATGTGTCTAGACTGCATTGGACCACCCAGCCCCCAGAACTTGATCTTGCCTTTACACTCAACTCCTTGGAGACCTGTGTTGTTCCCAGGATAGCTTTTATTTATGCATCTCGCACTGGCAGTGGGCACCCGTGATATGTATTGTGGGTGCCATGGTGGGTGTATTAGTTCTTGCCCTGCTGTAAAGAAATACCTGAGACTGGGTAATTTATAAAGAAAGGAGGTTTAATTGGCTCAGGATTCAGCAGGCTGTACAGGAAGCATGGAGGCTTCTGCTTCTGGGGAGGCCTCAGGAATCTTACAGTCATGGCAGAAAGGGAAGCAGGCACGTCTTACATGGCCAGAGTAGGAGGAAGAAGAGAGAGGGAGAAGGTGCCACACAATGTTAAATAACCAGATCTCGTGGGAACTCTATCATGAAAACAGCACCAAAGGGATGGTGCTAAACCATTCGTGAAGGATCCAGCCTCATGATCCAATCACCTCCCACC